AATCGTGAGTTAACCGTTGTTCGTAATTCTGCTCTATTGTAGTCGCATGGGGATTGTAACGTTCAGTAGGAGAAGGTTAGCTGTGAGCGGGATGGTAACATTGCAAGACGTTTCGATATGCTTTCAGGCCTTTGATAACGACGAAATTGTCGAAACGTCAGGCATAATAAAAATTCCATCATAAAAAACCTGTATGGCACAACAATAACAAGAACACTCATTGAGTTTTCCAAATAGTACATATTGTGGATAAGATTCGCAAACGTGACTGATGATTGCCTGCGTTCGGCTTATATTGTAGCCATCTGTCATAACCAGCGATTTTATAAGTTTCGATTTTATGAATATAAGTGCGGAAGAAAGGCAACAATTCCGCCAAATACACAGGAAATGAGGGGCTCCTCTTAGGCATAACCAGTGTGATGTCCGCCAACGATACAGTCATTATGAGAGATTCTGAGCACGGAAGTAAGAAGACAAACTCAGAGAAATACAAAACACAGAAGACAAGCGAGACGTAGACCCCAACGAGTTCGTAACCGTGAGCGTGCATAGATTCGTGAGGAGTTCATGGATGCAAATTGTTCTGAAGGAGTTTCATCTGCTATACCGCCCCCCCCCTTTTTGCAGTTCAGTGTAAAAGTGCTGAGGTGGTGCAGCGGCAAGTATCAATTCACGCACATGTTGTGGGCGCAGGGTCAAATCCCATCCAAGCCAAATGAGTCGTATTCCTTTCGTGGTCAGTTGATTGGCAGCATGTTTGCCTCGGAGGATTAGACATTGACTTATAAACCTGTTGGTCCGCGCAAGTCACAAGCACAGGAAAATTTGGAGTGAAGAAGAAGCGAAAGAAATCTCGGAAAACGCTAGAATTAACGCTCATGTCTTGGGGGGGGGGGTAGTCGGAGCATCCAAGTGAGCCACTCACAGTGCATGGGACTGGGCTTTAGAGAGGGGAAGGGATCGTTGGAAAGGATGTAGGGAATTTTTATTGTCCCTGGCGTTCCTTCTATCTCCTGGGCTTAGTCCGTCTCACTTAACAACGCTTTCTAAATGCCCTGTCCGGAATGTCTCTTCCCAGGATATGAGCGCCGAGCTCTTTCAAGTAATGTATAAGCCTACGGAAAGAACAAAAGCGGTGCCTATCAAAGAAGTGGTGTTCCCTAGAACTTTGTTCTATCTTGCAAACACATTGAAAACTGAAGAGGAAGGCTCAGGACATTGAATCATTGTATATTTCATAAAAGCCAAACCTCTATTGGTGGAAACAGCGTCGTTCCAACAGGTACATTCTCATCGATACGAAGTCGATAAATAGACTGAGGGAAGCGAATCGTTTGACTGGATACCAAGTTGATCGCCACCTAAACGAAAAACATTGCGCTCAAGTTGTAGCAGAGATAGAGAGAATCGAATCCGTACCCCGACATCCGAATAGAAATCAGGGTAGTCAAGATTCACGGCGCGAACAACAACGAATTGTGTGTCGTGATTGGCCGGTGTCTGTGCATAAGAAGCGCTCGCACTCAGTTCTCCCTGAAAGTCAGGCATCTCTTGACTTCTGTGAAAATATAAAAGCAATAACAAAAAAATGTGATAATGGGAGACATGAGCGAAAGAAAAATCTCCCCACGAAGGGCATTATATAATAAAATGATGCCTTCAGCTTTCTAGAACTTCCAAGTTGGCCACCTTCAAGAGCTTGAATTTTCCAGAGGCGAAGTCTCAGTGATATAAATGAGCCGTACCGTGGTGCCATCGATATGCAGTCCTTCAGGCGCAACACCATCTGGGAAGAACCGGTAGTGAAGTGTTCCGTTAAGAAGGCGTGCATCAAACCGATGTAGAACCACTGGGAAATGTGAATCGATCGGAATCTGAAATGAAGTTATTGATATTATTAACTAAGAAATAGTTACGGTTAGTTCAACGGTGTTAAGCGGTTCCACGCGTATTATTTGAATATGCTAAAGCAGATTCAAAGACGAATAGCACTCTCTGGGAAAGTAGTTAAGTTTAGAGATCGTCAGTAATGCACGAAAGAAGAAAAAACTGAGGAAAATGCCCCAGAACCCGAGAAGTGGGACCCCTTCCTCGCCCCTTGATTTGCGCATTGATGCGACTCTCGTCTTTGTGCCCTCTCCAACACTATGCTCTAACCACTCGCTGATAGGCCTAGGTTCCTAAGAAAATACTTTGACGAAAGGGGGCGGGGGCGACCGTCTCACCGGCTGCAAATGAACCGACTCTGACCACAGTGGAAGCCCACTGTGAACTAATGGAGTTGTCCGGTTCGTATCAAAGTAATAACGAATGGAATATGAGGAAGAAACGGCTTAAAGGCATGCCCCAGGATCGCACTGGTGTGGCTCTTGCACACGAATGTGAATGTATCGGTGCCAAGTGGGCCGGCAGTGAAGAAAAAAGGAAAAGAATCCGTCGAAAACGCTCAGGTTGAGGGCTCACTCACCTTCCTAATTGGCTGTGCTAAAGGAACGAGAGACTAAGCGCGAAGAGGAGAGTATGGGGCGAGAGAGCGCATCAGATGAGAGAGCACCAGACAACGGCCTGATAAGAGAGCTCGTTCGCTGCAGCTCGAGCAGCTTACTTTGCAAGCCCAAAGCGTTCTTGTCGGTCGAATTCCGTGCACGTGAACGCCACATTTGTGATTGTCCCCTAGGGTTCTATACTTCTGACCGAAGAGAAGAGTTCACACGACCTCTGCCTGGGTTGTGCCTTTAAAATAGAAGGCTTGATTAGTGCCCCCAACAAATCTGGATCGACCACAACTATTCAACTTTCTTTACTTTTACTTATTCACTGTTTTTACTTCCGCCATCCATGCCTCCAAACCATGCCCTAATGCTGATTGTCTCGTTTATTCACCAAGCCATCGCCCCCTTCCCTAGTCCCAGAACTTTATGCCCTCAAATGTCCTCCGCGCAATCTGAATAGAACCGGTGGGTAAGAGATGCATTTACTGAGTTTTGTCCGCTACCGTTACTTCACCACATCGTTATTTTCGGTTTAGATTGTGGCACTTACAGCGAGAAAAATGAACTCACATCGATGTCGTAGGTGAGTTGTGGAAAGACAGGATACTTGTCTCGATCGAACATTACCACCTACGCGTAGCTGATGATCCGAATGGGCGTTGTCCGACTCGCTCGAATTGTCAGATGAGTCTCACCGGGTAAGATGGTTCGCTACCTGTAAATAAGTCGCCATGAAGTCTGGCCAATCAGTTCTAGGGAGCTGTTGGGACTCACTCGGAGCAAATCTCCATCCATAACAAATTGTGACTCGTTTTCTAGAATCCGGAAATGAACGGGCAGAGCGGAGCTGGTGAACGCGGACGCTCTGAAGCCATACAATAAAGAGGTAGACGAAGAGAAGATTAGCGTAATTACGCGCTGACCTCAGCACGACACTTCCGACGGCTTTCTCGGTGGAGATGTAAATGGTCGACGGCAGTGGAAGGAAGCGTAACGAAGTGTCGCCAACGATTTCGATGTGCAGTATGGCGGATGTCTGTAAAGTCTAAGGACTCCTTAGGACCTCCCAAATCGAATAATACTTCTTTTACGTACCTTCTCTTGAATACCGTACTCTGATCCTCGGCAATCACCAGCAAATCAAACGGTCCATCTTGTGCTGTGAGAGGTGTCAGTGCAGAAACCACTCCTGTCTGAAAGCTGTCTTCTTGGCGCCTCATTACCTTTCACGGTAAAATGCACCTCACCTGCTCGTTAATCGAGAATTTACGGTCTTGTGTCAGCTGGTCTGCAGGATACTCAAATCGGTAGGTGATTTGCCCTTCCAAGCCTGGATCTGGATCTCTTGCATGAAGCTCAGCCACTACGGCCCCGGCACGGATGGGCGAATTTAAGATGACTGTATAGTGTTTCTGAAAGAAGTTAAATCATCTTCATAGATCGAATGATGGTGATTGCCAGCCGTCGTGTCTAGCCGATTTTATTTCTACCGACTCCTCCGTTCCACACTAGCGTTGAAGTAGTCACCGGCTGGTTATATGTCTCTGCATGCATGTTCTCTGACGCAATGGCTACAGCACTAGAGAATGGTGGTTGGCATGCAGGGTCAGCCGTCAGGTTGGACCAATTTCGAAGATTTTACGACCCGCCCCCCTCCCTCCTTCTAAAGGCCCTGAGGGCCCCGATACCACTCCCAAGCCAGTTAACCTCCTTCACAGCCATCATCCCTATCACCCTCGCCTGCCCGATCGTCATCTATGGGGCGCTCTATAGTATTTAATTCTAAGCGCCAGTCGACCACCACGCCCAGCTCGACCCCCTTTTCCTATTTTTTCGCCCCCTAACGCCATCCCGACTCCCCCCTCGTTGGACTTTGTCCAACGGACGGCTGATAATGCTGGACATGGCTCCAAATCGCGAAGGGGGAATTATGAGCCCTTAAGGCTAAGCTTTCGAGGGGTGGAGGAGCATCCCGGGGTGAGGGACAAAAGGTTTCGGTGTGACAAAATGGTATAAGAACACAGTAGTCATGATTCGCTGTTTAGAAGAGATAGAAAGCAATCAAATTGAGGGAATTTCAAGACAAAAAAACAAACTTTGTAGTCCTGGAAGAAATCCCCACTGTCGCGGATGCGACGGTGGCCCGCTGGGCGCACCGCGCGCCCCGGCCCACTTGCGCTCGGTTGCCAACGCGCTCCAGCGCCATTGGCCCCGCCTCCCTGCGGTCGAGGCCAGTTAGTCGGCGCTACGCGCACCGTCCTAGCGGCGGTGCTCGTAGGAGCTGGCCACCGGTGGCAGGTCGGTGTTCACCGGGCAACGCGATGAGGCCAGCTAAGGCGAAGGGGCACGTCGCTCCGTAGTCCATGTTGGCGGAGCGCCTGTCATCCCAAAGCCGGTCGTGTCCTTCCCCTGCTCCCCGTCTGGGAGCAGCCCTTACAACATCCCAGATAGGACACGTCGGCCGCATGGAGCCCCCAGAAGAAGCCGAGCCAACGTGGGGGTCTAATACGTCGAGTCAGCTGGTGGGGCTCACCTCTGAGAGAGGTGACCCCCGGGAGTTCGAGGAGTATGGTGAGTTACTACGTCATAATAAATGTTAGTAAATGTAATTGTGTTTTCTATGTATTATATGTGGGTTTACCCTAATTATATCGGTCTGTTGTGTGTCACTCGGGTTTAGTAGGGCTGTTTACCTAGGTTCAGCCCGTCGGCCACTAGTGAGTAGGTTGAGCTGCCGACGGGCGCCCCCTGTGTCCCCGGGGGGAAGTTGGGTCCGCTCCTCCTGGTGGGCGCTCAGGAGGCAGCGTGGTGGGCTGATGGGCAGCTCGGCGGGAGGTCGAGTGTCGGGGAGCAGATACACCGTTCGCGACACCCTTCTTGAGCGGGTCCTGACACGATCCTTACGAGCATCGATTACAGTGACACCCCAACTGGTTCTACAGCATTTGATTCTGCCACGACATGGCATACTCTAACTCCAAAATGCAAAGGAAATCTCTTCACCTCCCTCTAAGAAGCGACGATTCCCCCAATTCTACGCACCTTATCGTCCCAAGTTCCTAAAGATGACCCCTCAACCAAAATCACAAATACCCTCCCGCTCAGATTTCTACACGGACGGTTCACCGATATTTAGGACGAAATCAAATGCGAAAAATCACCTTGTCAAAAAAGGGTGCGGAAGGATTCGGCTGATGAACGGCGATGCTTAGCGCGAGCGACTGACGTCTGTTAGGGTCCCATGGTCCGAACGCTTCAACATTGTTTAAGGTCGATGAGATTCCGGTCAGCTGCTGGCGATGGTCTGCACCACGCCCGTATGATAGTCGACACCGAACACTGCTGGAAAGAAAGTTGTCTCATAAGTTGCGCATAATGCGCGGGTGATGAGCACTTACCACTGGGCGGATTAATGGCGTAGTTGACATCGCCATTAATGCCTGAATCGGCGTCGGTAGCCTGCAGAGTGATGACATCGGAACCAACTGGAAGATCGCTTGGGAGGGAAATGTGGAACTGTGAGGCCGAAAATCGGAGGAGCGTTATCGTTGACATCAGTGACAATCACGACGACAGAAGTGTAGCCACAGGTGCCCGGATTCACCGAGAGCACAGGCACGGATCTGCAAAGGATAGCATTGGAGAGCAGGGACATATCCAGAAGCTGATTGTGAGTGCGACCTCACCTTGAACTCGTAGTTTTTATTGGTCTCATGATCGAGCACAGCTTCACTGGTGATCTCGCCGGATATCTGGTGAACCCGGAACGGAAGCGAAGAAGCGCTGAAGGAGCCAGGGAGAAGCTCGTATTGGAGGGTGACGTCATCGGACGACAACGCCACATGGTAGGCCTTAAGGATCACGTAGAGGTGAAGATGATCAGGAAGGAAAACGTTGGTACGCCCAGAAAAGCCACACTCACTCGAACCACACCAACAACAGACGGTGGTCTGTTTTCTGGAATACTGAATACGTAGCGATTTCTT